GGAATGCAATGAGGATAAGGGTGGAATGCAATGAGGAGAGGGGGAATGCAATGAGGAGAGGGTGGAATGCAATGAGGAGAGGGGGAATGCAATGAGGATAAGGGTGGAATGCAATGAGGAGAGGAGGAATGCAATGAGGAGAGGGGGGATGCAATGAGGAGAGGGGGAATGCAATGAGGAGAGGGGGATGCAATGAGGATAAGGGTGGAATGCAATGAGGAGAGGAGGAATGCAATGAGGAGATGGGGGATGCAATGAGGAGAGGGAGAATGCAATGAGGAGAGGGAGAATGCAATGAGGAGAGGGGGATGCAATGAGGAGAGGGGGGATGCAATGAAGAGAGGGAGGATGCAATGAGGAGAAGGGGAATGCAATGAGGATAAGGGTGGAATGCAATGAGTAGAGGGGGAATGCAATGAGTAGAGGGGGAATGCAATGAGGAGAGGGGGGATGCAATGAGGAGAGGGGGAATGCAATGAGGAGAGAGTAGTATAGGTAGAATAGTATGAATAGTAGTATGGTATGAATGTAGTATAGGTGTGCAGTGTGCGCGTTCATGCGACCGACCTCGCACTGCGTCCGTCAAATAAGAAAAGTAATGTTCTGTATCGCACATATTGCTGAAGGAAGTGTGCTGAATCGTGCAGGTAAGAATTCCCGGGATACATGAAACAGATTGATATATATTGTGTGGATAACGCTAGCTGTGTGATAATAGCCAAACAAAGATGTTATGTCAGTCAGTGTTCCCCCGGCCAAAAATGTCTGTGAGGTGAGAAAACATTTTTTGGTGTGTTTGCGCGTTTCGAGGTCCTACCAAAGCGAGCACTGGACGATCTTTGAAAAAATGGTGCAATTTGGTGCTTTCTAAGCTATTCTGAACACATTGTATGAGAATGTGTAGTTTATTGATGGAAGAACAGTGATTTTCATCAGTGAGGCAGTGTTTTGGACAAATATCTGTGAGGCGGGTGAGAATTTGAGCGAGGCGGCCCGCCTGGCTTGTGTCAATGCAGGGAAACACTGTCAGTTATAGCCAAGGATTAAAAACAAAATCGTTGTTGTTGCTGCCGCTATGCTTGTTGACATTCCCATTTTTTGTCGTTTTATCAAAAAAAAATCCAGTCCTTTTTGTCTGCACAAAAAGTCAAACAGCCCGAGTTATTATAACTATATTTTTACCCAATTAAAAAATTGCATAAGAGTACAGGAGTATATTTATTTTTGCGTTAGGTGTTCTTACTTTTTAGGCCAAAAGCTCGAATTACAGTCTCCAATTTTTTGGCTAGCATGTGACGTAGTTATTTCAAAACCTGCGGTCACCTTTTGCTGTGCTGTGATATTGTGATATTGTGATATTGTCTCACCAATCTGTTACAGTCGGCACATTTTTCCTCCTCTAGCTTATAGTCTAAATACCAACTTACTACTTGACTATTTTATACTGTGCGGGGCATAAAAACACTTTCCTTGAACTTCTAAACAAACTGTGGAAGTTGATACATAACGAATTCGAACGAAAAAATCGCGGTGGAATGTGTTAATGGTACAGTTCACACACGTACAGCTATCGTTGTTCATTAGTGTTCATACCAATCTCAAGGTTAGCGAACTATTTACGTCATGCCCTCTTACACTTCTTATTCACACACTGATGTCGACTGTTGCGAATGCTTGAATCTCGCCTATTAAAGAGAACCTGTTAATAAAGCTAAAAAAAATAAAAAAATAAAAAAACGGAAAACAATTCTGAGATCGGGAAAAAAGCGGAAATCCGCGTTTCCGCGGAAAATTTTCATGCCTGTATAGGCGACACTCATGTACTATTGCAGCATTGCAACCCTCCCTCATTACATGGCCTCCTTACAGAGATTACTAGTTGTATCGCAGACGAGCCATCCGTTACCCAGTAACACAGTCGCTGTAAAACAGGGTAGGCACTCGCTGCAACACACTGAACCGAGGTCACATCCGCCTGCGCATGCGCACTTCCGTTTCTTGTCCAGAGACAAGAGAAATGCCAGCATTTCTCGTTCGATTTTTTTCTAGGATGTTATAGTTAAAGATTTTTCATATTTTTATATTTTGTCACCCTGATACGCATTGTACGCAGCATACGCACATCTAAAAATAGACCTCGGTTCAGTGAGTTGCATCGAGTGCCTACCGTAAAACAACGTGTGATTGCAACATGAGCAGAGAAATCCGGCCACCGGAGGGCGCCACGTACACGGCACATGACGGACGACCGACCAGCTTCTGTACCTGTTCTATTTTTCTAATGTAAAGACGGAAGAGCTGACGCGTAAGAGCTCAGTGAAGGCTGACGTGGAATATATATAACCTAAACAAAGCATTTATTCCACCATACTCCAGCCTGCCACGTAGTAGAGTGCAACTGGAAATACATGTCTTCGTAAAAAATACATGGCGCCACCTATTGGGCTTAATAATGGCAAATGTTACATTAATGTTACAGTACCTGACCGCCAGCTGGCGCTTGCGGTCCTCCTGCATGCGGATCAGGCGTTCAGCCTTTGTCTCGTGCATCGGTGCGGCGTGAGATCCTGCCAGCGTGTCACTCTCCGATGCTGTCAACGCGTCTATCTCTCTTGCCTTCTGCGCTTGTAGCGGACTGCTGTAGAGACAGAGACAGAGAATGAGTTGTACTTAGTGTGACATCCGGTACTTTCAGTACACTCTCTCACTGTAGAAAACACGGAGGAAAAGAGAGAGAGAGAGAGAGAGAGAGAGGGGAGAATGCAATGAGGAGAGGGGGAATGCAATGATGAGAGGGGGAATGCAATGATGAGATGGGGGATGCAATGAGGAGAGGGAGAATGCAATGAGGAGAGGGGGAATGCAATGAGGAGAGGGGGAATGCAATGAGGAGAGGGGGAATGCAATGAGGAGAGGGGGAATGCAATGAGGAGAAGG